GATGAGCTCGAGCTCTGTTAACAGTAACGGTGCCCTGGAGGAGTTCTCAGTGCATCGGGTGAAGAAGGAAGAGGTCGAGTCTAAGATTGCGGCCTGGCAGACCGCGGAGATTGCCAAGATTAACAACAGGTTTAAGAGAGAGGACGTGATCATTAATGGGTGGGAGGGTGAGCGGACGGAGAAGGCCAGTTCCTGGTTGAAGAAAGTAGAGGTATTTTTTTTTTTAATTTCTTGCACCTGAAATATATTTCATCAGTGATCATAATTTGGTAATTAAATCTCACAACATCTTAATCGCGTCGTTAATAATTAAAAACTGCTTGTTCTGTATATGCGGAGTTTGGTTCCCCAAGACGCCCGGGAACATTTTCACCTGCGTTCTTCCTTTTTCAACCCCCGAAATCTGTGTGTGAGTTTTTGAAGTGCGAACATGTCTTTGATCCTGGTTGAACGTACTGCAGAGGAAATTGGACGAGCAGAGGGCGAGGGCGATAGAGAAGATGCAGAACGACGTGGCGAAAGCGCGGAGGAAGGCGGAGGAGAGGCGGGCGTCGGCGGAGTCGAAGAGGGGGACCAAGGTTGCTAAGGTGCTGGAAGTCGCAAATTTGATGAGGGCTGTGGGTAGAGCTCCGTCGAAGAGATCTTTCTTCTAGCGACTCGTGTTTCCTTCTGTGTTAAAGTCTGAGTGATGAATGTACGTAGGAGAATAACGAGAGATTGGATTGTGTTGTGAACTTTGGATGTTTGAAGACTTCAATTTTGTGATGGATGATGATGATTCTTGTGTGCGTGTCTTGATTTTTTTTTTTTTCTTTCTTTCTTTTTTTCATCTGATCGATGCTCACTTTCTCCTGAAGTAATATGAAGCCTGTGATGAATGACAATTCCTTTTGATTTTCTAACTCACCTTTTTTTGGGACAATCAGTGATGCCAAGTGAGCGAAGTTTGGTTTGTCAATTTTGGCTCACAAGATTTGGCAGGCAGCTGGGTGGTTCCAATTGTGGGGTAGCCTGGATGGAGATTTTGGGGAGAGGTAGGTATGGTCCTCTGCTCCGCTCAACTTTCATACCATTTTGAATGGTTTTTTGTCCTTTTTCAGTAGTTAAGACAGTAAAGAAATTACTTCCCGAATCCCACAATAGCTTATCGTTTAATGGATGGCTACGAATTGTATTCAAAAGGATCCGAAATCAATCTGGATTTGTCTATATTTGGAGACTTGTGTATGCAAGGGGAACGGAGAATAGAGGCTAGAAGAACATAGGATACCATAGCATACACGAGGACAGAAACATCTCATATGAACTTATCCTATCGATTGCAGTTTAGTTCACGAGTAGAATTGATGAGAGATCGAGGGCTTTTAATTTCAGTTTTGGTATCAGCAGCTTGGAATCCTTTATTTGTTTGACGAGACCGTGCACCCAGACACTAAGCATTTGCGGAACACAAAATTAAAAGGATAAACAAAAACATACTCCCATAAATCTCAAGACATTTTTTCATGTTATTAGAGATATATACAAGCTATAAGCAGTAAACAAAGTATCTTACAAAAACAAACAACACCTCACATTATGGGAATTCAAGCTTCGGCAGCCTTGCATATAACCCGAAAGGCAAGCCAATGAAGTAGGACATCGTGATACAATAGCGTTCACAGGGAAACTCAAAAGGATATCGAAGTTATGATGCGTGAATATTACATACCAGTATATCGCTTCAGTGTCAAGATTACATTGGGGAATGGCCATAAACCTATTTCCCGGCACACAGTGGACCCTCTGGATGTGATGACACCTCTGGAAGAAAAACTCCATTGTTATCGCGTTCGCAGTTTATGCCTCCAGATGATGACAATTTATTCAGCTGCTCCTTATCACCACCTGCAGTAGAAACTACAGGCAATTTACCATCAGGCGCCCCACAGAGCAGGAGCTCAAGTGGCAGCCCACTGACCCAGTTACTTTCGTGAGTAAAGTTCACATTGAATATCGTCTCTTCCAGTTCCTTGTTTGATTTCTCCTGGCTAAAGCCTCCAGTATCATCAGCATGGCTGAAAGATTTCTTGACGTCAAAAGCTGGATCGGTTTCGTGAAAGCTTGAACAAGTACTCCCTCTATCTTCAATCAATTCTCTGCTATGCTCATCGGAGTCATGAAGAGCAGCTTTCTCAACATCACCGTTGTCAGCACTGCTCGTATCATGGCAGTTCTGACTGACTCCTTCATTTAAGTCAGTTAATGTGCCGTCATGCAAGTCTGTAGCAAGCTCTCCACCAGCTTTCTCAATTGAAAGCCCTTGACTCCTTTCCACGCCAGTCTGATCTACTTGTTCAAAGGTATCTTCAAAATGCGACATGCTCAGTATAGGATCCAAATGGACCTCATCTTTCATCTCATTTTCTTCCTGATTCTCGATTCGTGACACATCAGCTCCATCACAAACAGTAGTTGTTGAGGCAGACAAGTCATTGCTACCAATACTAGAAATCTCTGAAGGGGCACTGAACCTAGCACAAATGATTTTGGGACATTGTTCAGTGCAATCCAAATCAGGTGAATTTAAAGTGTCATTGCAACTAGAAGAACTATACATATTCAAGAACTCCGATGGCATAACTATGGAACCTGAATTTGCTTCAGAAGGACAAGCAGGTGAGAACACATCCAAATTAGCTACTATATCTGAGTCATCAAAAGTTGTGCCTTCTGTCACCATATTCAGGTTAACCATTTCTAAATTACGCGGACACACTAACGAATCACAAAAACAGGTTCTTTTCCTTGTGGCACCCAAAGAGTCACAGCCAACTCTTTCTGAAGAGTTGGTAACCAAGTTGTCCAAGGCACTGTTATTACTATTAACCGACTCCTGAGGAAGTGTCGTCTGATTCGGGATAGAATCAAGAGATTTAGCAGCGGTTGAAGTCAGGAATGCTGCCAGAGATGACTCTAAGACACTGTCAATAGACAAAGGCTTTTTACTTTTAGGGAAGTCCTCAATGAATGGATCTACAGTATCTCCTGTGTTAGAACAGTCATCGTCTTCATTCAGAAATTCTGGTGCCTTTATTGTCAGACCTGGGCGAGTTTGAGATACAGCAACAGAAGGTTCCACCATATTCCCTGGCGATGATACGGCAACAGAACTTGTATCCTCTCCGGATCCTGTGTCTTTGGTATTTCCATTGTTGTTTTTTACATCATATCCATTAGATTCTGAGGCAGAAACCCTGGAACAAGGACATTGCTCAGAAGATTGATTCTTTACAGCCAATGCATCAAGCTTCTGTTCCATCTCCTGAAGCCTTTGCTCCATGCAACTAAGAGGTTTCAACATGTTCTCTTCAAACTTTGAACAGAACGTTTCTACTCTTCCTACTTTTAGAACCAACTCATCCAATACCTTCTCAAGACGATTGTAAGCCCAATTATTACTTTGATCAAAAGAATTTGGCATCTGGTGCAGAGCTGAGACTTCCTTCTTTGATTCCAATCGTACATCTGACTTTATATTGGTTCGTTCCTGATCTAGTGACTTGCAAGAGTACGTTTCTTGCGCCACAGAATTCTCCACACCTAAGCTAGCTGTCTGATCTGTTCTCTCAATGCCATTCTGATATTTTAACACTGTTGCCTCTTTGGAGAAACAATTATTTTGCCTATTCTCTGATTTTGATAGCTGCATGAGGCTAGGAACTAGCATGGACAATAAAGAACTTCCTCCCAAGTTCTCACTCGCGGAAACAGGTGGATCAGAGTCAGATGATTCAACAGGATCAGCATATACATAGATCTCCTCCACATGAACACAGGCCTTAGTTTGAATTGAGAGTAGGCGAAGTGTAAGATAATAACAAGGACTGGAGTCTGAAATCTCAGCTGTTGCCTCGTAGTGAATCTGCAAGCATTAACTTTTCAGTGAGTAAAGTAAAAAGAGCTAATAAATACAAAGATTTAACAGACAAATAGGCATATGCCACACTGCCTGCATTTTTGGACTTTCCGTGACATTATCACAGTTCTTTGACACGGAATATTCTTTGCCATCTTGCATGACGGTATTAGGAGCCTTGACTTGTACCCAGCCATCTTCATCGCTACTATTGCTATTATTCCTAGTCACCTTTTCTGGTATTGCCACAATTCCATTACTAAGACTTTCCTTGCATCCGTTAGTATCTCTGACAGTAACACTGTCTGCTAGCACTTCTTTTACAGCAGCTCCACAACGAACAGTGCACAGGTACTCCTTATTACTTTCCTCGTGATCAGAAGAGTAATACATCTCATACACTCGGGCAGTACTACGCACATAAACCCTGTAAATCTCATGTTTTTTCCTGAAACAAACTGCAGTATAGAAATGGATAAGTAATTGATAATCCTCATGCGAGTAAAAAACAAAATATGAGGTGAAATGTTAATTTCACCAGTGCATCAACGTTCACGGTAAAGAACAGCATTGAGACACAGGATACACCTTCAGAAACTTCCAGTAAATTCCCCCCAGCCATATATTATTATTTATGAAAATTTGCATGTAAAATAGTTAACCTCTCTAGATGTTGAATACAACTTCAATAATTGCCCATAAACCAATGAGACCCTAATTTATGACCCTTTTTAACTCAATTCAAAAAATATGAATGTGGGATAAATTCACATAAAAAAAAGGCAAGATATCCTGCCAAAACATGCTGGTCAAACTAACAACATCTCTTGGTCGCTTGGTTCTGGCACTCATATCAGATTCTGGGAAGATAAATGGATTGGTTACAATACTTTATCCAGTTTTTTTCCAACCATTTCCCAACTAAGATACTCCTCAAATGTATCTGTACGTAATCAAGGCAACCTACACAATAATTTATGGCATTGGAGACCTTTATTGAGGAGATGTTTATCCCAGGAATCTCAAACAGCCAAGTCTGATCTTCTGAACTTATTATGTGGGATAAGTGTCAACAATCAACATGATACACCCAGATGGTATCTTTCATCTAATGGTGTTTTCTCTGTCAACTCTTTCTACAACTTCCTAATCTCTAGAGGCATCAAATTTGCATTTTACAAAACCACCAGGAATGTAATTCTTCCTAGCAAAGTGAGAATCTTCACTTGGTTATTATCTTTTAATAGACTGAACACCAAAGATAACCTCCTGATCAAGGGATCGCAGGGAGATACCAATTGCTCTCTCTGTGGCACAAGTATTGAATCTAGAGATCATCTTTTTCTCTTATGACCTATATCTCAACAAGTCTGGAATCATTTTAAATCTTATTATCTTCACTTTACTTGGCCGACAACCTTTGATGATCTCATTTACAGAGTGGAATCTCTTAAAAGTGTTAAGGGTCATTTATGGCGAACCATCTTTTCTGCAGTTTGTTGGAGTATATGGAACACAAGAAACAGACTTATTTTTGAGCAGGTTAATTACTCTTATATCTCTATTATTAATCTTGCTATATCTGGTATCTATGATTGGACAGGAGTGAATAAAAGATCTGCTGCAAGGATATCAGTTGAACTTGAGATCAATCCTATATCAAGGGTCAGAGATCATACAAGCCAGTGACAATTCAGTCAGAAGCTAACAGCAGTTGTTTTGTTAGACTGTATATATTTTCTTTTTTGGATTTGTTTTGTTTGTTGGTTAATAGAAAATTGCAGTTGTTTTGTTAGACTGTATATATTTTCTTTTTTGGATTTGTTTTGTTTGTTGGTTAATAGAAAATTTAGTTTCTGATAATTATATTTTTGGATTTGTTTTGTTTGTTGGTTAATAGAAAATTTAGTTTCTGATAATTATATGTATAGCTGGCTTTTGTTCCTCCCCATATCTGTGTCAACGATGAATGACGGCAAGGCCCTCTCTTCATCTTCATGGATCCCTGGAGGAAGAAAGTTATACATCCCTAATTATTAGACACTCTTTTTTCTAATTTCCAACATGGATACAGTTCGTATCTGATAACTTTTTGTACTTAATACTTTTGACTATGAATGAACGGGGGATACCCCTTGTTTTTCTTTCAAAAAAAAACAATTACAGGCTATTGGCCTAGTAAAAGAGAGACAGTAAAGTAGCCCGGTTGGCTGATAGCGCACGCTGCACAACCTTTCAGGTTTAAGCATAGCAGTGCCTAAAAGGTCAAAACAATGTAATAGGAATTGTCTATTATATCTGAAGCTCATGTCTTTTCAATACAATGGTTGCATGTTGTTCCCAAGTAGCACATATTGCATAGAATCATAGATGGAGAAATTAGAGAAAGGCAAACTATAAACAGTCAATGTCCTGTAAGGTACGTGAGTACAATCAACACAGGTGAATGTCATGTGCGAGACTATAAAAACAGCCGAACACAAGTGGTTTATGATTCAACAAGACATTTATGCATCTTCTCAAGTACGCTTACATTACAGCAAGACTTTGAACTTGTGATAGCTCCTAAATAGTGATGACGGTTAAGGGTTAATTCTATACTCTACACATCTCAAACAAAAGAAAGGAGAATCACCTAAAGTTGGCAAAAAAAGGGAGAGCACTAATATGAAATGACCAAGAAAAACTTCTTGCTAATCTATTATTATTAGAGAAAATACATTATTAAAACTTCATTTTATTACTCTAGTCTTTTTATTTCTTCCATAGGTTGATACCCCAATTTAAGGCGATCTCTGCTCAGGTCCTAGTGGACAGATTTTTTCCCCCTTTTTCTTTCTTTCTTTCTTTTTTTTTTAAAATGTAGGAAGCAAAACTTACGGAGTACACTGAATCATACAATTTGGAGGTCAAAAATAGTGTCCGGTATTTCTAGAATTCTTTGAGAAAATTATCTAACTTAGAATCTATTTCAATAATGTCATTTACACAATTCCTACCTTCAAATTTCAAAGAATTTCCTCTACCACTATTTTATGCCTTTATCATCAACAGAAAACCTTGAACATTATGCCCTAAGAGCCATGTCCACATATCCATCCCTTCTTCATCCAAGGTTTCTTTCTTAATCTCCAACCTGTTCATCTTACTATTGTTGGATAATTTAATGATCTAGGCATGAGAAATTGAACTAGAAATATAGATCTAAATTACCGTTCACCGACGAAAATAGTGGAAGTCTTCTCCTCTCTCCTCCCGTAGCCAATGATGAGAATTATGTCTCTTTTCTGCATACGGTTGAGAGGAGGGACTCCCACCCTTTATATAGATATTTATGATTAACCCTACCCATCATGGTTTAATCACAACCGTGGGATTACACTCCGATCGATCCTATCCTTTAAATATTCAAGATAACCACCCAACTTGATAAACATGAAACTGTCTAACCAGACCATGTGGTTAGCATCCTGATCCTAACTTGAATCAATGACAACTTTAAATCAAATCCAAAATCGAGTAGGTTGGGCCACATGGGTTCGTTGGATTAATCGAACCCAACAATCTCCCACTTGGCACAACATACCTCATTTTAATTTTAAAAAACATTTAAATTTTCAAAAACTTTTAAAAGTCGGGTGCGCACCCATTTATTTTAGAAAACAACTTGTTGCCATGATTCTAACTGGGATAGTTTCTGAAACCTTTTACTTAAAACAAAAGTACCACTAATGGTTGATCGTGAAAACACTATATGCTCTAATATGGCACAAGGTCACTCCACGGTCCAACCGCTAGTACCACTAATGTTCTAAAGATATTTTCCTTATGGTGGTTTTAGTGGAGTGTAATAGAGTCGTACATCCCTTATGGTCAAATCCGATGTACGCCCTTAAGTGTCCTCTGCAACATACACAAACATGTATGCCGTTCTGAAACTTTTACCGGCATCCGCCATGTGAAAACCATCACCTTTAGTCCAGAACGAAAGCCTCAAATATGATGCCCAATCATATTCAGCTTCTGCACAAATTTAAGAGTCTCTTTACTTTAACCTTTATGACTCTATGGACCACTATCTTTAATTCGAGTTTCTTTAGGTTTAACTTGAAACTCTTTACTTAAAACTTTAGTTTTCTTTACTTTAAAATATATATCAAGCAACAATGACCAAGAACACAATGCTTGAAAAATATCAAACTGCTAAAAATTAGCACAATAGTTTCTTTATGAGCTCAAAGAAATCCAGAATATAGTACTTGAAAATAAAACAAAACTACCACGAGAACTAAATCTCACTGATCATATAGATCGAAAGACTCTAAAACACCTATACTAGAGACATGTTCCTTGAAGAGCCCTGGAGAAATTCCATTGGTCAAAGGATCAACAATCATCAACTGAGTCGGCAGATGAGGAACCTCAATCAATCCTTGTTCGACCTTATCAAGGACTAACAAGTACTTCACACCGATGTGCTTATTCCTGCTAGAAAAATTCTTGTTCTTTACAAACTGTACGACTGCCTGATTGTCACAATACAACTTTACTGGTCTCTGAATGGAATCCACCACCTTTAGTTCACTGATAAAATTCTTGAGCCAAGAGGCATGCAATGTTGCTTCAAAAACAGCAACATACTCTGCCTCCATGGTAGATGTCGTCACTAAGGGTTGCTTGACACTTTTCCAGGAAATTGCTCCTCCAGCGAGCAGAAATATATAACCTGATGTTGATTTTCTGCTATCAGCACATCCTGCGAAATCTGAATCTGAATAACTGACGACTTCTAGATTTTTAGACCTTCTGTAGACCAACTTGAAATCCTTGGTCCTCTGTAAATACGGTAACACCTTCTTTACAGCTTTCCAATATGCTGAAACATGCCTAATATTCCCATGATATAACTAATGTCTGGCCTAATGCATGGCACTGCATACATTAGACTGCCAACTGCAAAGACATACTCCTCAGAGTTCACGAGCCTACGCTCAACTTCATTTCGTAGGCATTGAGATTTGTTGAACATATCTCCTTTGACAACTGGGGCTTCACCTGGTGCACAAAGCTTCATTCCATATCGCTGAAGGACTTTCTCAACATAATCCCTTTGAGATAAGCCCAACAAGCCTTTACTTCGATCTCTATGGATCTTGATGCCCAAAACATAATGAGCATCTCCGAGGTCTTACATATTAAAATGCCTCGAAAGAAAAAACTTTAGTCTCATATAGGAGATGAATATTGTTGCTAGCAAGCAATATATCATCTATATATAATACTAGAATGAGAAATCGGCTCCCACTGATTTTGAGGTATATGCGACGATCAACAGGATTCTCTCGGAAGCCATTTGATGTTATCACTTGATGAAATTTTAAGTACCATTGTCTGGAAGCCTGTTTGAGACCATATATTGACTTCTTCAATCTACAGACCAGATCTCCTTTAACTGCAAATCCTTCAGGATGAGCCATAAAGTTTTCTCATTCCGATCTCCATTCAAGAATGTCGTTTTGACATCCATCTGATGGAGCTCAAGATCAAAATGGACGACGAGAGCAAGAACTATCCTGAGAGAATCTTTCTTAGATACTGGAGAAAAAATATCGACGTAGTCAATCCTTTCTCTCTGCTTGAAATCCTTGGCCACTAGCCTTGGCCTTAAATCTCTCAATGTTTCCTTCATAATCCCTTTTGGTCTTGAAGACCCATTTGCATTCCATCGCTCTAGCTTTGTTCAGCAAATGTACTAACTCCCAAACAGAGTTCTTTTCCATTGACTGAAGCTCTTCTTCCATAGCCTTCAGCCAATCAGTTGCATGATAGTTGTCTCTAGCTTTTGAGTATGATGAGGGATCATCGTATTCTGGATCAATGCATCCACTTTCTTGAGGATAGACCCCATAGTCATCAGGTATGGAAGATCTTCTGACACTAGAGGATCTTCTAACAGGTTGTGGCTCTTTCGCAGGTACAAAGGTTTCTTGAACTGGAGGAGGAGGTGGAAAGCTATATGAAAGAGTGAGGAATCTAGAAATGACATCTAATAGCGGAAGCGACTGCTCATCTTCTAAAACTTCCTCAAAACTCAGATCACGATATTCTAAAGAAGCATTAGGGTCTTCCAAAAACTCAGCATGCTGTTTCTCGAAGAACTGGGTAGACCGAGAAGAACAATAGAACCTGTAGCCCTTAGATCTTACAGGATAACCGATAAAATGACACGACACTGTTCGGGCTTCTAATTTCTTAATGTCTGGATTATAAGGTCGCGCCTCTACTGGACATCCCCAAACACGTAGATGACCAAGACTAGGATCCCTGCCAGTCCAAAGCTTGAACGGGGTCTCAGCTACCGCCTTACAAGGAAAACGATTGATGATATATACAGTTGTCTTCAATGTATCACCCCAAAAACTTCTAGGCAAATCAGAATGACTCATCATGCTGCGAACATCATCTTGATAAACACGATTTCTTCTTTCAGCTACTCCATTTTGATGCGGAGAACTTGAGAGAGTGTACTAAGGAACAATGCCTTGTGACCTCAAGTACTCAATGAAAGGACCATGATTTGTGCCGTCCTGATCGTTTTTAAGATAGAATTCCCCACCTCGATCAGAACGTACAGATTTAAATAATTTTTTTTTAAAATTGTTTTCAACTTCAGCTTAAAAGATCTTGAAAACATCCAGTGCCTTGTAATTAATATCACTACTTCCATCATATTTCAGATTGACTTGATGACTCATTAGGCTCTTCTAGCTTATCTTCAGTGAGAACATAGTCGTAGTCAAGACACCCAAGTACTATTTCAACTTGCATCTTCTAGTTGCTATAGTTGGAACTGGTGAGGGGCTCAATCCCAATCAGATGCTTCTGGATAAACTGTTCGTCCATTTGCATTAAATCATGGACGTATAAATCAAATGAGACCTTTAATTTTATTAACTTTAATATTTCCACATCCAATTTAGGGTTAAATCAAATGAGACCTTTAATTTTATTAACTTTAATATTTCCACATCCAATTTAGGGTTAGAATGGATGGGTCAGAGTGTTTTACGTCATCCAATTTAGGGTTAGAATGGATGGGTCAGAGTGTTTTACGTATGCAACCTTCCACTCTGCGGGACAGACGAGTGCATCATCTCATCACACCTTTGGGCAAGTGATTTGACATGCTATTCGCCCCCTAAATGTGATATATAATCACATACAGAACTAGCCTACACAGTGTCAGTTTGATTTGAACACTTCCTAACCTTTGGGCAATAGTGTTATTCTCCTCTCACTGACATGTTTCAACTATCCTGCACCACTTATCTTGTAGGGGATTTTCTAGACACCTTTGGGCAAGACTAGTAGTCCACCCACAGATAAGTGCAACCTTCCAGTCCAAATGAGACTAAACTCAACCTTAGAAAATTAGGGTATTATAGGTTGGTCACCTTTGGGCAAGACACTAACATGCTCTATCATAATTTCTAAGTGACTGTTTTACTGATCTTCCTTAACCCCATAGGTTGATCTAATACTGTAATCCGTTTTATCATGAACCCAAATATTTACCCCACCTGAATTAAGGATATAGTTAGGGTAAATCAGTTATCTTTATGTGCATACAATAATCTTTATGAATTGTTCAAATTCCTGTATAAAACTTTATAAAATGAAAATAAAAACTATGTAGTTAAAAAGTACACAGAATGATCTTTCCAACGACTATTTATGGGCTCAAATTGGACTTAAAACGGATCTGTAACGACCAAAATAAAATGAATGGTCAAAACTGTAATGGGTCGGGTCTGGAAATTAATGGATCTGACCCATTACTGTAGCGGGTCATGTCCTAACATACTGGATCGGGTCTGGCTTAAAGGGTTATAGGGTTATATAACTCAAATAATAAATGGTATTTAATTATACTAATTAATCTAATTATAACCCTAATTAAAAAACCTAACCCTAACCCTAACCCTAATCCCACCCGACCCAAACAGCCACACCATCGCCGGCACCCAACGCCGGCCGCAACCGACACCGGCGCCATTCTTCCGCGAGGATTTCAATCGCTTCGAACAGCATCTGTGAAGGAGATGCGGCCATGACAGAACAACATAAAAAAAAAACTTTTTTTTTCCTTAATTAATCCAGAACGGCAGAGGAGGGACTGTCTCCACCTCCAAAGACCACGGCCAATATGCAAATCCAGATGCAAAGGTAGATGCAAATCCAATATGATGAGTCATTGAAATCAATGACGGCATGAAGACAGCTCCAGCCATGGCCAAAAAAAATCAAAGGGGCTAGTGGCCAACATAAAATCTTTAAAAAATATTATATTAGCCATGGCCGGAGAACTTCTCCCAGATGCATGATTTTTTTCAATTAATCAATCCGAAATTCCTTTGATGACGACGGAGAAAAGAGACCAAAAACTTTAATTCTAGATCAAAAAATTCATGCACAAACAGGCTCTGATACCACTGTTGGATAATTTAATGATCTAGGCATGAGAAATTGAACTAGAAATATAGATCTAAATTACCGTTCACCGACGAAAATAGTGGAAGTCTTCTCCTCTCTCCTCCCGTAGCCAATGATGAGAATTATGTCTCTTTTCTGCATACGGTTGAGAGGAGGGACTCCCACCCTTTATATAGATATTTATGATTAACCCTACCCATCATGGTTTAATCACAACCGTGGGATTACACTCCGGTCGATCTTATCCTTTAAATATTCAAGATAACCACCCAACTTGATAAACATGAAACTGTCTAACCAGACCATGTGGTTAGCATCCTGATCCTAACTTGAATCAATGACAACTTTAAATCAAATCCAAAATCGAGTAGGTTGGGCCACATGGGTTCGTTGGATTAATCGAACCCAACAACTATTTCATATAAAATATTATTCACCAATTCTCTAAATGACTGGCACACTTAACTTAAGGTTCGGAATCTTAACTTTGAATCTAATACTTTAAAACAAATTTCCCATAAATTCTAACCTCAATGAGTTTGATACCACCTTTATCAAAACAATAACAGAGCTTCAACAAGCCCATTTAATTTCCTCAATTACAAGAACTACGTCAAACTAAAGTAATTCCAACAGCCATCGCAAATATCATTCAAGATTCACAAAAAAAAGACATAAACCCTAGAAAATTTACCCACTTACTGGTGATCTCACAGGGAGGGGGGTCGTCGGTCTCAGGCCTCAGGAGGAGAACAGGCTTCGCTTCTTGCTCGTCCTCGATCTCTTCCGAAGTGTCGAAGGAGATAGCGTCGTCGAGAGATCCATCGGCGATCCAATTCGTCGTCGCCGACCAGATAGCTGCCCTGCAGCCCTCTTCGCTTGCTGCTGCTGCTGCTGCTGATGATGATTCCATGGATCGCTTGATATTTCTGTTTCAGCTTTGAGAGAGAAAAAGAGAGAATTGTTGCAGATTTTGTAGCGATTTTGTGGAGACGTTGCAAATTTAGAATGTCAGAAGGAGCTTAGTGAGAAATTGGGCGCCAAATCTGTGTGCGGGATTAATAAGTAGCAAAAGGAACCTTTTGTTCTGAGAATTTTACTTGAGACCCTGGTTTCGCTAGCTATAGTGGTTTCCATCATGGTAAATATTTAGATAAACCCCCTTAACTTTGGCTGATCATCGGAAAACTCCCCAAGTCTCTGAAAACCCCTTAAGTATAGGGATTATCACAAAATACCCTTTAACTTTGAGATTTTATTAGAAAGCTCCCCTAAGTTAGGGGAATTTTCTGATAAAATTCTAAAGCTAAAGGGGATTTTCTGATAACCCCTAAACTTAGAGGAGGTTTTTTGATATTTTGAAAGTTAAAAAGGGTTTTTGGGAAATTATCCAAGGTGAAGGGGCGTTTTATGACATTAGCCTTTTCATAACTTTCTTGCCCCAAAAATGTTATTGGGGAATAATATCTTATACCCATGAGGTGGATGCATAAGTATCTTACTACACTCAAAAGACACTGTTCCTTCACAAGGTCTTGATTTGAAAGGGATTTCATTAAGCTTAATAAGTTGGTTTGACTTCATAACAATGATTAGAGCGTTTCTAGAATCTATATATTTCTGTTGGGAGGTCTAAAATTGAAGCCAAATCAGGGTGTTTACAGTGGCGGATCTACGGCGTTTTGAGTGGTGGTTCGAAATAAACAATCAAAAGTTTAATCGACGATGGGGGTAAATTAATAAACAAATAGAGATTTTAAAAAAAGTTAGAGGTGCAAAATAAACAAAAGAAGAGAAGAGTAAACAAAGAAATAGAGGGGAAACAGGGACAAAACGAAATGTGTATTACTAAAAATAGAGGGAAACAAAGAAGAGAAGACTGAAGAGTATGAAAAATAGAAATTTTAAATGGAGTGCACAGGTTTGGAACCCAAGACCATTTGACATAAACGTTCTATTCTCCATTCCCTAAGCCACTGGGATTAGACCCACTTTGATATATTGCTGATATTTATAATATATGTAGGGAATTTGTAATTTTGAGGTGGTTCAAGTGCACTACTTTGAATAAGGGTGGCTCCGCCCCTGGGTGTTTAGTAAGTCAATAGATGAAGGAAAGATACTCGGCATCGTCAGTTAAAGCCATGGTTGTTTTCACGAATTTCAACATAAAATACCAACTTCTTACCCATTTAACTTAGGAAAATGACAGGGTACACCCCCAACCACATCCCAAATCACACCCCCTCTCTCATATGCTACAGTACACCGGCCCCACATGGCATTTTAAAATTTTAAAATTCCATGTGGGACCCGGTGTACTGTAGCATATGAGAGAGGGGGTGTGGTTTTGGGATGTGGTTTGGCGTGTGTCCTTAGTGCCACCCTTTAACTTAATTGCAAATCCACTCATTTTAAACTCTTATCTTCTCCATTTCAAACCCAAAAGTTTGAATGAGTTTGAATTTATAATTGAATTAAATGGGTAAGGGCTTGTGTAAGTGGATGAAATGGAGAAGATGGGAGGTTGTAATGAGTTTGGATTGATTGAGTGAAATGGGTTTTGGGTTGTTAAGGGGATGAAATGAATAAGAAGAGAGATTGAAATGAGTTTTGGATTTGTAATTGAGTTAAATAGATAAAGAGGGCTTGTGAGGGATGAAATGGAGACAGTGAGAGTTTGAAATGAGTTTAAGTTTGTAATTAAGTTAAATAGATAAACTATTTTCAAATTTTAATGATTCGGGGGACTAATATCAAAATAGTGAATATTTGAGGGGCTAATTTTCAAAATTTTCTCGATGTGGGCCTATTTGACCATCAAGGTCAACAAAAAATACCAATATGATATAATACTAGTATAGTGCGCATGCTTTGCACAAGAGTATACCTATTTTATTTCATGTTTTTAAAATTTTTTTTGTTCGTTGTAAAATGTATAGCAATATAAATTCTAAAAAATTACAATTTTCTTTAAATGAATAAATTGTACGATAAACTGTGTATAAATAACTATATGATTAATTATTATAGCGTGGATAATTATTATACTTTATTCATAATTTATTAAAATATTTATAATATATTAAATAGTTTATTCTCTTTTAAATATAATAATATTATACTTGACATAATTATAATAGTATTAGTAACTTTATTTTAAATTTAATAATTAGTTTATTATAGTAAACGATTTACTAAATTGTATAATTATTAAATTACAATGTAATTTATTAATTTAAAAATACTATTAAAATCATTACACTATCAATACTATTACAATTAGAATAGATGCAATTTTTTTCATTCTTTCGTCATACGATTAAAAGACTAATAAGATGCAAGGTAATGGGTAGTTCTCCATAAGAGGTGAAACCCAAAATTGTAAGGCATAAGCCTAATGAATTGTTATTATTTTTAGTTTTTCTAGAATTTTGAATATTATGTGAAGATAAATTAGGGATAAATTTTAAATTTTCTATTAAATAACATAATAAAATAATAGTGTGACCAAAGGTTTTGAAAAAGTGAGGAAATGTATTATTAATAAGAGATTATATATAATTAGTGAATGATTAATTACAACTAACGACATATTTGAGAATTATCAAACTTAAAAGGGTAAAAAAGAAAATCAAAAGTTTTGATAAGGCAATTCTCTTTTATATGTAATGTATGTATGTGTGTGGGCGTATACGTATACACGCACACTAATTAAATTTTTTAATTTTTATTTTAGGGAACGGGTGGGGAGGGAATGATGGCTTAACCCATAGTGGGGTCAATTGAGTTAATTGGAAATGTACACGCGGAGCTCAAGGGTAGTTTTTGTTGAACCATTTATTGGGTAGTTGTCAACCAAAATGGTCGATTGATAGGGAGCACACAGAGAAGGTGGTTTTCATTAAAAAAAATAATTAGAGGTGATTTTCCATCAATTTCATCTATTTATAAGGTAATTCTCCAGAGAAAAAATCCTTATGGGAAAGAGAATTACAGTAGTTATAGTTGTGATTTATGATCAAATTTCATGATGATGCTTTTAGAAACAGATACATATCATAAAAGAGTGTTTGAAAACTCTCTAAAATTGGACCAAGTTTGGACCTGATCTAGTTAGAGAAATTTTTTAAATTGGCTAAAACTGGGTCATTCTTGACCTGGTCTATTTTAACTCATATTTTGGAGTTTAAACTGGTTGAATTGTGGATGGGGTAAGCTGATCCACAACTAAATGTGTTCTATTTAGAACCAATTTTAGGTCCATATTGGCCCATTTTCAATGGATTGCCAAACACACAAGATTCTTATTAATTCATGACAAAAAAATGGGGGATATAAACGATTTACTTTTGAGAATGAAAACAAAAGAGGGCAATGATAAGATGTTGAATGAAATTCAAATTACTAGCATATCCCCCCCCCCCCCCCCCCCCTCACCACCCAAAAAAACCACCTTCTTGAATTTAAGGCCTAAATCGCCCTTAAATGATTATTGTTTCCTAAAAAAAAATACTTATACACATTACGTTTCAAAATGGCAGCAAAAAAATAAAAGATAGAAATGCTCTTCTTCCTAAATAATCCTATGGGTAAAAATCTCCAAACTTTGCTATTACCCCCAAGTTTCCTCAAAAATAACCCCATCCCTACCCCCCCCCCCCCCCAAAAAAAAAAAAAAGAAAAAAAAAGGATCTTCAAGGCGAAACTTACGCCTCATTTGGTACATGTAAATGGAGTCAAGTGAGAATGGAATAAGGTAGGAACGGGATGGAATTAATGTGGGAATGGAATGCTCATTCTTATTCTCATGTTTGTGTGCGATTAGATAGTTAGGTGGGAATATATTTAAGAATGGTGTATCCAGAATTTATTTTTTATTTTCATTCTCATATAAATGAGAATATCAATTCCTTGATAACTCATTGGGAATAGCAATTAACACATTAATTGAGAATTGATGAGAAGTGAGAATGACATTTCTAGCATCCAAAAATATATCATGCTTGATAAGCATAAATGAGAAGTTAGAATTGCATTCAATTCCCACTCATTCCCACATGCCAAAACGAGACGTTAAAGCTTTATGCCTCTCATCCTTGAACCTGGCCCATGTGGATGAGTGAGAGTGAGCTAATGTTGAGTTTAACAAGCTGCAACAGGTGGTCCAAAAATCGATTTAAGAGTGGAGAGATTGAAAACAGAAGATGAAGAAGACGGGGAATGATATTTAATAAAGAAAAATAGATTGGGAAAATTTTGATTAATATAAAACCGAGGGTAGTTGGCAATTAAATTAGTCACATGAAACAACACATGAGAATATTTTCATGATAGGTTGACAGGAGATAGCAAACTGCATTTTTTTAATACAACTGATTATATCTTTTTGCATTGGTTTGAAATATATAAATGATTTTTTTTAGAAAAGATAGGATATTTTAGTGCAATTTAACCTATATTTAAAAGCCAAGAAATAAACTGCGGATAAGAAAATGAAAAAAAATTGTTTTTATTTCCATGGGGCCAGTTAAGGAGCACGTCAGTCTTAGTGGGCTCAAAGCCACAAAAAGCACGGGAACACCATAAGCCAAGCGATCATCAAGTCCCAATTGTGGGCGGAACAACCAAAACCCACATATAAACCCACGACATTTCCCCTCATCTCTTCAGGCTTTTGTCAGCCTCACTTACGAAATCCCTTCGCCCTCTTCTCTCCTCAATAGAAAAAATATGGCGATTAATTTCTCTACCTCCATCAGAGCTCACCATCCTTCACTCTCCACAAAACCTAACCCTAGAGATGAGACTCTTTTAGCTGTCACTGGGCATCGGAGGTGTAGCCTTCGCTTGAGTCGGCCATGGCGCCGAGGAGACGCAGCTGTCAGGTGTTCCGTGTCATCGACAAAGGAAGCTGAAGCCGCTTCAGGTAAAATTCATCACCTTTTTCATCATAAAGTTATGAACTTGAAAGGAACTGGAAATAACCCATATGTATTTAAAAATGAACAGATTTAAAATGACAAATCCATGTATCTGTTCATTCATTAAGTTTTGAATTCACATACAGAAGAAGTCCGATTGCGCACGCTTATGTTTTGCGATTGAAGAAGAAGGAAAATACCCTTTTGGAATGTTATGTTCGCCAAATTAAGTTTTTTTTATTATGATTGGTTAGCTAAAATGTTGTTAATGTATATGTGTAGGTAAGTTTCCCTAGTTAATTGTGTACCAATTAGGAAGGAACTATACCTGGTTGAGATGGATGGGTCGTGCAAACAAATGGCTGTTTTGGCTTAAGTTTATAAAAGTACACTACTTATATTTGTTATATTTATTCAACAACTTTCTAAATTGTTATGCAAGATAAGGATCTGCTTTGTGTGATTTTGATGTTTTCTTGTGTACGAGATGTCAGTAGTCCGTAGGGAGAAATGCTCTATGATTGCTTGAGTGATAAGAGTTTTATAGGGCTTAGTTAATGAAGTGCTTGGGAAAGAGGTTCCCACCATATTATCTTGAAATATGAGAAGAATAATTATTGTACACATGAGTAATTTACTTTCTTTTGCATAGTTTGAATAAGTACTAACAATTATGACTCGTATTAAACAGTAGAGAAAAAGAAGTTGGTGACAAGAAGAGATGTGAGGAATATAGCTATCGTTGCTCATGTCGATCATGGGAAGACAACTTTGGTGGACTCAATGCTTCGGCAAGCAAAGGTAGCTTGAAGCATATATTTTCCCAAGTAATTGAAATGCTTGTTGCAGTAGTACAGATGTTTAGATAGAGTTGCGTAAATGAAGATGCAAAATTACTCACTGTGACTCTTATTCTGTTAGGAGAATATGGTACAGAGGTTCTTGCTCTCATGCTGTTAACTTATGTCAAAAACGTGGGTCCCATCTATTACATCTAGCAATGCTGTGAAATTGAGTATCATTAATGTCTCAGGGACCCAAATAGGGGACCCAAGGCATGAGACAAGTGAGGTGTCACCATCCGGTTGCATGATGCGCTGTTTATGAACAATGTATTATGCAACCGGATGGTGACACCTCACCTGTCCCATGCCTTGGGTCCCCTATTTGGGTCCTTGTAGCAACACCCAATTGAGTATTCCTCGATATTGTCTTACATATCTGTCGATGACATGAAGGTTATGTTTAAGACAATGTTACATGTTGCCATAAAAAATATTAAAACCCCATTCTTCTAAATGCAGAATAAGTTACACTTCTTCTACTTATTTTGGACAAAGAGTTGATGATTGAGTATGCTCAGGAAATGTTAGCCGTTGGCTTGTTCTCAATAAATGTGATAGTAAACAAGCGCCTATACTAATCTACTAAAAACCAAGTGGGGGTATTTAATTGCGAAAAAATGTCCTTCATTCCCTCCTTTCATAGTTCTTTTTTGAGGGCAGATTTGTCAATTACAGTGGAAATGTCAAGGGCATATAAGTAATTTTACAGATGTCATTTCCGGGGGGAAAAACAAACCCTCTCTCTGTCTCCAACACATGTCTGCCTGCTCTTCTTTCGTTTTCCTTCTCACATTCTGCGTGTATTGATGTGTTTTTCACTTAAGCCCTTTAAGAATATTTATTTGCAATAAATTCCTCTCTCACACACTTTATCCTCTATATATTGTATAAAATTAACATTTTTCATATATGTCCTTTAACATTAAAATTGTCACACCTACAAAGTCATGAAATACAAGTATAATATTAAAATTTTAAAAGTATTAGAATAATTTCAAATGCATTCACTTAAAAATTATGAGAAATTATTGCTAATAATTGTTAACTAAAAGAATATTATTCTAATGTCTTTACAGAAAAGTTCCGTTCAAGAACATTAAACATGTTCTTAGTTATTTTTCAACAGTACAAATAATGAAAGTACATACATTGCCAACTTATGATACTTCAAACATACTAGAAATAAAAAATAGTTTATGTTTACCACAGAAATTAAGAAAATGAACATCGATTGAAAGATAACTTTTCAGTTTTCAGAAAGTAGCTTATGATTGTTTTCTGTTGTTTATATAAAAATTAGAAAAATTAGTTTTATTATCTTGCACGTGCATTTGCACATGCAAAGACTGCTAGTAGTTGTTTACTTGTTTATGTGGCAGACGACTATTGTCATATGGTCAGATACAAGGAAAAAAAAAAGTTGATTTCTGATATATCTACTTTTACAGGTCTTTCGTGATAATCAAGTTGTACAAGAGAGGATAATGGACTCAAATGATCTGGAGAGAGAAAGGGGAATAACGATACTTAGCAAAAACACATCAATTTCCTATAAGGGGACTAAAATCAACATCATTGATACACCAGGTCACTCTGACTTTGGTGGGGAGGTAGAGCGAGTCCTCAATATGGTTGAAGGAGTTCTTCTAGTGGTACTAAAAACTTTCATTACTGTCTTTGGTATCTATGGACAATAAATTACCCTGATAATTTTTTTATTGTTTATTCTACTGAGGTTGCATCGAGTTTCTGTTTCAGTTTCACTTGTGTTTTTTTTGTGATGTTATAACTTAAATCATTTAAGACTTAAACTTTACAGTAGATTTGTTTCCCCGTTTGCTTATAACAGAACAAACAGTAATATTCACTTGGAGAATCATCTATTACTTAACTGCCAACATCCCTGATTATATAGTGCCACAATGTTATTTAATTATGGGATATTCATTTTAATTTCAAACTGGTAGATGAATTGCAAGTTATTACTTATTTTCCTCTAACGTATATGAAGTACACTAATTGAGTGCTGAAAAAGCTTTTACTGATATGAAATTAGCTAGCAGCAGGGACTTTTTAATGTTCCATCATTACTGGGGCTTGACACATCAAAATGCTCTTTATTTGTAATGAAGAATGCTTATGATTGTCTTCCCCAATCTTACCTGCAGTTGTTTAGATAATTTCTTACCCATTAGGCCATTAGTGCTGTTTGTCGGTAATGTAACTGCTCTCTGTCTTTGTAGGTAGATTCTGTAGAGGGGCCAATGCCGCAGACAAGATTTGTTTTAAAGAAAGCACTAGAATTTGGACATGCTGTTGTGGTTGTTGTAAATAAAATTGACAGGCCATCAGCTCGCCCAGACTTTGTGATCAATTCCACATTTGAACTGTTTATCGAATTAAATGCAACAGATGAACAGGTAAATATTTTAAGATTAACCTATTCTCTCATCAACTCTTGTTTGTACTCTACGTGGAGTAGGAAAAAATTCATAAATTGTGTTTAGAGTCTATCCTTTTGCCTAAGTTCATGACTTGTGCAGTGCGATTTTCAAGCGATATATGCAAGTGGCATCAAAGGCAAGGCAGGGCTTTCACCAGATAATCTAGCAGATGATCTTGGGCCACTTTTTGAGGCAATTCTTCGATGCATTCCAGAGCCTAACATTGATAAAGATGGCGCACTACAGATGCTTGTTAGTATTTATCTGCACCATCTTTAATGCCATTAATTTTAAAGCTTGTGGTATTTATATTTACATCATAGAGTTCCTATATCCTTATATCGCTGGTTTTATTTTACATTTGCTTCATCTTGATGTCGCTCAGTGTACATTTTTTACAAGCCTCATGGTCATATCCTTTTCTGATGCTAAATCCAGTTATCATACTGGGATTAGAAGCTGTTTTGTTTCTTGTTGCTGGTTGGTTTTAGCTATTAGGTTAACCTTATGGAATTCTGCATCTTTGGCTGAAGTATTACCTTGAAGTTGAACAGTTACTTCTTTTAGCTTAAGTATTCTTGATTGGTGTATAACAGGGAATGGTCTTAATCCTTTTTCCAATCATTTCAATATAAAGTAGCAGTCCTGTTGTTGTAGACTACTGCTGTGCTATTTAATTCAGTTTTCCAATTTAAAATCACTTAATCATCACATGTTTATGAATTGTAGGTAACAAGCACCGAATATGACGAACATAAAGGAAGAATAGCTATCGGTCGTCTACATGCTGGGGCATTGGAAAGAGGAATGGAAGTCAAGGTAAATAAAACTTTACCTATTAATTTTTTTTGGGAATGCTTTAGTTATGCATATTAACATGGAAAACTCAATTATATCTTGCTTTCTCCTCTGATTCCTCCTCGTGAAAGACAATTTGGAGTTCCGAATTTTTTTAGAATATTTTTTTTTATGAAGCACCATAACCAGGATTCGAACCTGCGTCTTTTGATAATTCAGCCCATCCCTTACTGCTGCACCAGCCCTCACTGTGAATTCAAGCATCACTCAACTACATGTTCTTACTCACTTAAAATAAGTTAATCATTATTAAAATTGCTTGTTACTTTGTCTTAGTTTTTCCACACTAGCAAGAAACTGGTCTCAAGTGTTTGCATCATTGTTGCTTTGAGCGGAGACAGTAAAGCCTGTTCAAACTTAAAAAGTGACGTGCAGATTAACACTACTTCTTCAGTTGGATACATTTTATATGCATGTAGAAACAAATATATTTGGCTAATGATCTCTTAATAAATTTACTTTTGCAGGTTTGCACATCCGAGGAAATATGTAGGTTTGGCAAAGTTAGTGAGCTCTTTGTGTATGAAAACTTTTCCAGGGTTCCAACTGAGAGTGTCGAGGCTGGTGATATCTGTGCAGTCTGTGGTATCAGCGATATAATGGTGAGTATGACTAGATTATCTTTTATTTAGCGGACATAAAGAAGTGTGTTGTCCTCCAAATGGGAGACAGTATGTTTGGCAGGACAATTAGTCAAACTCGTGACACAAAGACACAACTATAAAATTGTTCAACATGGGCATAGGATATATATTCTCTCTCCCCACCCACCCCAACACACACAAAGACCTATACACGTGTTATTTTTATATGGAAAGACTCGAATTTAGTGAAAAGGACCTGCGAAACAATTAGAAACTCCAGCTTTTGTATACTTTTATGCTCTCAATTGTGAATTTGCAAGTGTCTGACATGGATGGCCATGATGGAAATGTCTATCGTGTCTAGTTGTGTTGAACATGCCGTTCTTCCTTTTTGACCTTTTTCTCAACAAACCTCAGAGTTCTCTTTAGTAAATTATGATTAATCACCTTATCTGGAATTTTTCATTCTATGGAAGAGTAAACTGTCACTTTTGATTGTTGTGCAGATTGGTGAGACAATAGCTGATAAAACTTCTGGGAAACCTTTACCTGCCATTAAAGTTGAAGAACCAACAGTGAAAATGTCATTCTCTATCAACACTTCACCTTTTGTTGGTCGTGAGGTATTCTTCTTCTATTGTAAACCTTTATACCAATTCAACAGATGTATAAACAGCTACAATCAGCACTCATTGATAGAAGAACATGAAGGAACTTATTCTCTATAATCGCTTCACCTTCTTTTTTTCTTAATTGAGAAGGAACTCTCATGGGTTTCTCTGGAGCAGAACTTCCTAATGTATCTACTCATTTAAACATGCTGCCTAAACTTCCTATCTTTTCCGTGTCATCTATTAGGGCAAATATGTGACCAGCAGAAACCTTCGAGATAGGCTATATCGTGAGATCGAGAGGAACTTAGCAATGAAAGTTGAAGATGGAGAAACAGCAGATACATTTATTGTTAGTGGCAGGGGCACATTGCATATCACCATCTTGATAGAAAACATGTAAGTTTGGGGCTTATGTGTTCAAGGAGTTATTGTTTGTGTACCTTTCTTGACATGTGATGCATCTACTTTTCTAGGCGAAGGGAAGGATATGAATTTATGGTAGGACCACCCAAGGTTATAAACAAAAAGGTTGACGAGAAGTTGCTGGAGCCTTTTGAGGTAATATATCATTTAAAAGTTTTGAGAAATCGGTGGGTAAAAAAAGAAAAGAATAACACTTTCCTTGATGGGAAATTCATACGAGAAAATATGAATAACGCTCTCCTTGATAGCAAATTCTCTTGTCATTCTTCTATATCTTTGCCCACATGTGCTTGAACGTTCTATATTACATTGTCTAGTTTAACATCTAATGAACTGGAAGGCCTCTTGTCTGATTTCGTTCTTTTGTAGACTGCTACAGTGGAGGTACCAGAAGAATATATGGGACCTGTGGTTGAACTTTTGGGGAAAAGGCGTGGGCTGATGGTTGATATGCAAGGAGGGTTGGTGCTCTGAACTTTTCATTTTATTCCTTTCTCACATCTATGTAATAACTTGTGTACTATGCTCTTGTTTATGATTCCTAGTTTTACTTGGTAAGCTAAAAACTACCCAGTCAAGCAGATCTGCCCAATTCTGAAAATAAGCAAATATGATCCCTTATTCTACCTGTACTTCTCCCACACGTCCTAAATTGAAGCATCTACTTTGCTCAACTTAATTCCATAATTCAATTATGCTTTTCATCATTCTTCACACCACTGTTCCGATTTCATTTTATACTCCAATAGTTTCATGATGACACAGCTCAGATAATGGTGGGGCCTCATTTGTATTTAGCTTTTAGCTCATCATCGTTTTCCACATAATTGCAATAAAATCAAGGTGCACATCACGGCTGAGTTTTGATGTTGTTTTTTGCATACTATATAATATNGTAGTTTATGGTTACGTGTTTGGTTATTAAACTTTCCGTATTCATTTTGGTGTTTAGTATATGTGAAGAACAAGCTTATAAGTTAAAGTCCAAATGCACGTTTATTTGTTTGATGTTTCCTATATATAATACGAATTATGCATATCCTTGTGTGTACGGAAAACCAAAATAGTACCCCTTTTTTTGCAAATTTGCCTCCTGATTATCATTATTTTGCTGTGAGGCTGGGTTATGCATTTTAGGTCCTTTGTCAAATGTACTATTTACAAAAGGCCTTTCTACTTATGTAGGACGGAGGGGACAACATTTATTAAATACAAGATCCCAACTCGTGGTCTTCTCGGATTAAGAAATGCAATCCTCACAGCTTCTCGAGGCACAGCAGTTCTCAACACTGTGTTTGATAGTTATGGACCATGGGCTGGAGACATAAACACAAGGGATCAGGGGTCTTTGGTAAGGCCTCTAAACTTAAGAGAACTTCATATCTTTCTATATCGGTTCTCTTCTCTAACGCCTGAAAAATGTGTTGTATTCTATTGAAAGTTCATTTGAGAAATGGAAATTAATGCACAGGTCGCTTTTGAAGAAGGAACTACCACTTCCTACGCTCTTTTTAGTGCCCAGGAAAGAGGTCAGATGTTTATCACTCCTGGCACAGAAGTGTATAAAGGACAAGTAGTAGGTATCCATCAGCGTCCTGGAGATCTATCACTTAATGTATGCAAGAAGAAGGCTGCGACAAATGTTAGGTCTAACAAGGAGCAGACAGGTAGGCGATCATACAGAATTTATAATCTTTAATGCAAGTGATATTATTTTACTGTGTGTGCATGAAAACGTTCACATTGTTGCGTAAAATGGCTTATTATTTTTTAGACGCAGGTAAGCTTAAAGGAATGTTTTTTGTTTCACGGGAGGAAATATCTGATGTAAAATATAACACTTGGAAACTTAATAAGCATAGGTGATTGTTTCTACTAATCAAAACAGCCATTGCATCATGCTTAGCAATGTTCTTTGTCAAACTAGAAGTTTGTACAGTGCTATTTGTATCACTGTCTTGATTTTTCCAAAATTTGAAATTTTCTGAAAAAACTTAAAGATACCACGTGCTTAAAAGCGATATTGGTTCCTTTATGCAGGGGCCTAGGTGATGACCATTTCACGATATATGGTCCTAGTCTTTTGCGATCATGACCGTAAACTTATCCTTTACCTGGAGCTAGTGTAAGCAAGCAGTGGAAAGCACAAGCGCGTGCAAAAATTGCATTGCTTCCAAAGGATTAACTGGGCACTATAAAAGAAGTGTTAATTGTGCAAGTTTTAAGTAATCTGACTTCTTGAAATTTGAAAAGAAAAAAAGAAATCAAATAAGAGTAATATAGGTTATTACAAGAAACAACTTTTATCTTAGCAAATAAGCCCTTTCAATTGTGTACACGAAAATAAACCAAATGGAGTGACACACCAACCCTATGCACATGTGTATGATGTAGATAAATTCAGAGCTGTGTGCATAGCTTCATATTTGTAACATAGTAATTTCTGCTTGGTACTTTCTAAAACATCAGAGAAGCACTTTCAATTATTATTTTACTTTTGTCATCTTATTCCCTTTTCTGTGGAGAAATCTAAGATGGAAATTATGCTTATGGTGATCAATTTCGTTCTTTGGTGCAGTGGTTCTTGATTCAGCATTAACATATAGTTTGGACGATTGTATAGAATACATCCAGGAAGATGAACTGGTTGAGGTGACTCCTTCAAGCATACGGATGTTGAAAAATCCAAAGATGGCCAAAAAGAAATATTAGTTTCAAGCTGGTGGAGTAAGCAACTGTATTGCATGAGCTCTTCAAATTATAGTTCTTCTGCATTGGTGTGTCTGTTGTGGATTGGATTGCATCCGCAAGTTAGTTCCAGTCAATGCACTGAAGAAGTAAAGCTTGAATATGATGCAAATCATTAGCCTCTACAGTTTATATTCATTCCTCTGAGAATATAAACTTAACTGCAGCGCAGAACTCATAACAGAGCTATACCGTACAAATGAAGGTGGTCCTTTTTATTTAAAATGTAAACAATTATTTTTGAAGGCACATTACTTTTGTGCTGGATAAATCTCTTCATGGAATATGTATTGAAATTTTTTGGCTTGTATGTTGAGCAAAATAAAGCTAATTATGTATACAAACACTGGCTAGGGGGTTTTCTTTTTCCCCACATCAGTTGACATTCACAGCTTGTTTCTGTAAAGCTGAAGATTTTAGGTGCAAGGACATTGCATATATCAATTGCATTCAGCATTAATCTATCATATGGCTTATCTGTGCAGGCGCGTTTAGGGTATCATTGTCTGAAGCTTGTTTTCGGATCTCGACGTCCATTACTGCTGAAGCATTATGTTGTTTTCTGGTACAAATATAGCTAAATGAGATTCTTTTATATATTTTCTGTTGTATTAGCATCAGTCTACTGTTGATCATCAATATGTCAGACTCATGTATGTTTACCTTTGGGGTATTTGTTTGCATGCAAGTGAAAGATGAAACTGACAAAGTGACTTTTTTTTAACATTTTACGTGTTTGTTTGCATACAAGTGGTTATGAAAGTGAAATGCAAAAAAATTGCCACACAGGATTTAATGCAAAATTTGACCTCCCCTAAAAAAATGGTGAAGTCACATGAAACTAGTGATGAAAATGGTAACAAATTTTAATTAAATAATTTTAACTATATTTACTAATTACTCTAATTTTGCCACATCATCTTCACATTGCACTTTCAACAATAAATTCGCTTTTCAAACAAATATTGTATTCACCTTGCATGCTCACGTAGATGTGAAATAAGTTATTTGCAGAAAAACAGTAACGTACATAGTTTCAATTCACTTTCTAACAGCCAAACATCCCATTAGTATATTTAGATCCTCGTACGTACCGTTTGATGCGTCTGATCAGCAATGACTGATCAAACAATAGTAATTCAGCCGTATATCATCGAATATATGTCTTGATTTCACGGTTACTCCAGTCCTGTTATTATCAAGCATTATCACTTTAATTTTGACGAGGATCCTCTTTTTCCTTCTTATAAATTTCTTGATAGCAAGTTCAAAGCCTGGAAATCTATGACTTGTTGCACAATGTTACTCTTAATACAACGCAATCTTCATAATTCCTATATGAAGCGATTCAAAATTAAATAAAATGAACCAGTTATTGATTTGGATTACCAATTGGGTGGTCTCACGCTAAAATTCTCATCTCACTGTAAAACGAAAACGAGGGAATAAAACAAACTGCAGCTTTTCTATCGAGGTTGGTCGACAGGTATGTATATGTAAATCATAAGAAATTTTGACACAAATGCATAGGATAACTGATTATATATGTGATCCAAATATTTTACAGTCCGTGTGGAATTTCATTTAAAAAAAAATCATACTCCAACACCCTCTAGCAGCATCAGATTCATCCTGTAACAAGGACATTAACCTTAGTAGTTTTCAGATGGATCAGAATGAAGGTAGCCACAACTAAAGCTCACAACTTAAAATTTTCCTCATTTAATAAGTCTGGTTCAACGCAGAGGAACTTCATTCGTAGATCTTTAGAATCTGGTGATGTAGTAAGCGAATTTTGGTATATTATCAAAGTAGCTTAGAAATGATATTTACAGGGAAGTACCAATTTGAACGGGCTAACGGCTCTATCGATCAGCAGTTTCAAAAGGGTTTTCGACTGTTTTTATAGTGAAACTCTCCTCAAAGTCGTTCTCATTATCATAGAGATAAATTTATGACAGTTGTTAACAGGCACATTGTTAAGATGTAGAACAACCCAAAAAACTCTTTAGTTACATCTTCAAACCATAATTTATTCGTAACAAGGTTCACTTCGTATATGAAATCATATGCCATCACTTTCGGCAAAAAAAAAAAAACTGCATTCTGAATGTACAGTTGAAACGTATTGAGCCATCAATATTAAATAATAATAATAATAATAATACGGCAGTTCTTGTGGAGAATTAGGATTGTAGACTACAAATTACCAGTCTCATAGAGCTGAGGCACATGCTTCTGGTCTTCAAGGCTCCTCTAGAGGCACTCTTTCGATTGGCGAAGATCGCTCGTTGCCATCAACTGACGGTTTGATGAAGAAATTAAAAATTATGTTGTTGAAGATAGTAATGATTAGGAGTGCAACAGCAGAATATGAAAGGTACGATCTTGACATCTCAGGCAATTCCTCGTCGCTCCTCATGCCAGTTATCGCATCTCTCTCAAGATCTAAATCTGCAGTTTCATTTGATCAGGATTATGTGCATCAGCAAGATGATGCATTGACATGTACAAAGCTCTGAATTTCTCACTTTTGATGCATTTTTATATTACATCTAGAACCTGAATGCGATCCATTGAACCGCGCAACATACATCTATACAGCAGAATGTTGAGTGATTATTGTTTATATATGTAGGGATTTTTAGATCTCGCAAAAACACCAAAAAAACCACCAAACACAGCAAATAAAACCAGACAAGAATTAACGTGGAAAACCCTCAACAGGAAAAAACCACGGGATCAAAATCAATCCACTATCACCTCCAAATTACAATCTTTTGCACGGACAAAGACTGCCAAACCCTCTTTCTCTCTATACTTCTTCTTCTTCTTCTTAGTTTTTCCTCTAACAATATAAGGACACATATAGTGAAACCAAAACCCTATCTCTAGCCTAACTTCCTAATTAGAATAATATTCAAACTCCTAATCATGATGAAACCCAAACTCCTAATCATGATAAATCTCTAACCCTATCTAATTCTCATGAAGTTCTACAAAAAATTAAAAAACATTATACTAACTTAGAGTTTGAGTTGATACCTAATATATCATCCCTCGACGAAAAATCTCCAAGTGTCTCAACGGCTTCAGAAAAACTCACTCTCTTCATCTTGTTCTTCACCTCTCCCTTGTGGACAAGAGTTTGAGAAGAGTAATCTACATTATTAACGGATCGTTCATCTAAATAGCAAATATGGTTGCTATTCCTCCTCCCTCGCAAAAACAAATCACCATCTCTATACATTTTACATCATTCTCCTTCACCCACATACTTGTACCCACGTGATGTCATCTCACCGAACGAAATTAAATTAGCACCACATGACGGCACATATCTCAAATGATGCAGAATTCCGACCTTTCCAGTGTGAAAAAGCTTGAGGCGAATACTTCCAACACCTTCAACCTTCATCTTCTCGTTGTTTCTAACAATCAAGTCGTCAAATTCTTCATCTGTCTTTAATGTGTTAAAATAATTTTTGTTGTTGCAAACGTGCATAGAGACTGCAGAATCTAACACCCAAGTATTACTCGCATCAGTACCTGTACTCTGCATCAATAAAACCACATCTTCATCACACACAACCACTGAGGAGTCCACCTTCTTCCCATTTTCTTAAAGCTTCATCTGTCTAATACTCTTCAAATCAACACACATCTGGGAACATCTGAACTGAATGTGACCATTCTCTCCGTAATAATAGCACTCCTTTTCGCTGTCGTCTCGGGTCCGAGATTTTGACCTTCCTCGATAACTACCACATCTCCCCGTACTCTTCCCTCGATTAGAACCTTCAAAAGCTAGTGCACTCTCACCACCATTAGATACGCTCTCCTTTCCCATCATTCTTTCATTCTCACGTAGGAGTACTGTCACATCGTCGAACTTCAAAGTCTGCTTTCTTGTAATTATCGTCTAAACTAACGGTTTGTACGACTTCGATAAGGAAGATAAGAGGAGTAGCGCCTGCTCATCTTCTTTAATCTCCTCATCAATATTCATAAGTTGGTAAACTAGCTGATTAAAGGCATTGATGTAATCTTGAATTGCCGTACCTTCTTCCATCTTCAACGAATAAAGCTCCATCCTTAAACACAATCGGTTGGTCATCGATTTCGACGCATAAATCCCCTCGAGCCTTTCCTACAGCCCTCTTGGTGTGGTCTCTTGTATAACATTGTACTTGATCTCGGAGGCAAGTGCCAAACGAATTGTGCTAACGTCCTCTTTTGCATAGAAATCCATTCAGCATCCTTCAACCCTTCAGGTTTCTTATCCTCTAAAGCTTGATCAACACCTTGCTGCATAAGAATATATTGAACCATGCACTGTCATACTGCAAAATTTATCTTGCTATTGAATAGCGGAATATCAAACTTCGGACCCGAAGAAGTCATCATCCTCTAACCGCAATCAAAATTCAAATCAGCCACTGTAGAGATTGAATTTGATAAAACCAACGTCAAAAACGAACTCAGCACGTCGAAAAACACTAGGAACAATTGATAGATCACCAAAATACGCCTCCAAGTCCTCGATCAAAAGACAAATCAACCTCAACCATCGGATCTGCGTGAACAATTCCTGCTACAGTATGTTTTCCCCTTGATGCCGATCACCCTGCTTTGACCGTTGACGCCTTCATGAATGCACACCGATCAAACCTCTACGAACCGTCGAACCCCACTCTGATACCACTTGTAGGAATTTTTAGATCTCGTAAAAACCTTAAAAAAACCACTAGACGCAGCAAATAAAATCATACAAGATTTAACGTGAAAAGCCCTCAACAGAGAAAAACCACGGGATTAAAATCAATCAACTATCACCTTCAAATTACAATCTTTTGCACGGACAAAGACTGCTAAACCCTCTCTCTCTTTCTCTCTACACTTCTTCTTCTTCTTAGTTTTTCCTCTAACAATAGAAGGATATATATAGGAAAACCAAAACCCTATCTCTAGCCCAACTTCCTAATTAGAATAAGATTCAAACTCCTAATCATGATGAAACCCAAACTCCTAATCATGATAGATCTCCAACCATATCTAATTCTCATAAAGTTCTACAAAAAATTAAAAAACACTATACTAACTTAGTGTTTGAGTTGATACCCAACAATATATTCATCTTATAATTAAACTTCTTAACTACCATCGGAATGTCCAACATGGCTTCTCTAATTTGAGAAAGCCACTTTGACTATTGGAACAACAACCTCAGCAGCTAAACATTGAGCATCAAAAAGTGATCACTAGCAAATATTTCTCTACTTTGTGCAATATACTTACCCTCAATTGATTTTTTTTTTTTTGCGTTCAGAATTCTTGCATAGAAAGACATGGTTAATTTATTTACTTTATTTATTGCAGCCTACCTCAGAACCTAATCACATGTCAATCATTTTATACAATTATCAATCTAATTTGAACTGCTTGAAGCGTGTTTTAAAGACCCAAGCGAAGAAAGATTATTTTGTATTAAATAAAAAATCCAAACATCAATTTTGGAAACCCTGCCAAATGCTCTACCAAGACAATTTTTTTTCAAGATATTCCATTTAACCTTGAGCACTTACTTTCCAATGCGTAACAATAAATTTTCACAAAGATTATCTGATTATGCGTAACAATAAATTTTCACAAAGATTATCTGATATATAAAAGCACCCATGTCAAAATTTTGAACACTTATTCTTCATTGTTAAGGGAAATAACACAAATGGGTCATGAATCCAAATAAATTCAAGTACCATCATAAGGGGAAGGGGGCCTCATTGATTTGGGTTCTTGGGTCTGTTCTCTCTCCACCATGGACTCCAGCTGCTGGTCCAGCTTCTTCAGGGCCTCGCGGGCCTTGGCCTTATCCGACTCCAGTTGCTGCTGCTGAGGTTCATCTCTGTCAGTGGCGCTTCGGGGAGGAGAAGGAAGAAGGCGGCGCCTGCCATTGATGCTGCTGATTCTTGGAAGTTGATTGGAGTTGAGGAGAAAGAGAGGAGAAGATGAGGGGAAGCGAGGAGAAATTACTTGCATTTTCGTTGTTGAGAAAATACCGCTGATGGTTTGTTTGCTTCCGATTCTGTGGTGGAAGAATCTTATAATAACCGCTTCGCTTTTCTGGGAGTTGGGCTGGATCTTGAAAGGTCCTGTCAAGCCCGTGGCCCGACTTGCTCTCTGACACACTTACGTGTTATATTTTTTGGGCTTATTTGCATATTAACACCCGAAAATTCATGCCCCCTTCCACTTTGATATCCTGAAGTATTACTTTTAGAATTTGTTACTCCAAATGTCAGGCCCTGGGCCCACGTGCCCGTTGGCGTATACAAGCCGTGAGACTCACCAAGAGCAAACTCGATCTTGGGTTAAACCCACTGTTAAAATGCTAACATTAGTTGTTCTTAGGCCTTGGACTTTTCTCAATTTAAACCAACCAGGTGATGTGGACTCTAGAGGTTGCTCCTACGGACTCTGGAGGTGGCTCTCATCGCATTCACGCGGTGTATCACTTAGCTCGTATAATACTTATCCCCACACTTTCGGTTGGCAACTGCTCTGATATCGATGTTGGCTAAAATTCACTGTCAAAATACTAACACTAGTTGTTCTTGGGCCTTGGGCTTCTCTATTTAAGTCACTAACATTTCTTCACACTAGTTCATGTGGGGCTAAAGTGGGGGTGTCACACCAAAGTTTTATCGAAATTTAACTCTGATATTCTCCGTCCCCAAGTTTAGTTTTCTGATTAAATTAGGGTTAATTGCGGATAAGACTCCCTACGCTAGCGTGCCTAGTTTCAAATAGAACCCATGTGGATCTATTGCTTAGAACAGACCTCCAATTGCTAATTTATTTTGACACTTAAAAGAGTGAATAAAAAGTTTAGCAGAGAGTCTACTCGTACATGGTCAAATCCCACAGGGTGTCTATCCGCACAGCGGGTCTCTTTGAAATCGGGCGACAAAAGTTTAGTAGAATTGTTTTTATTTGTTAATATTTTTAGTAAAAGCTTGCGGTTTTTTCTCCGATCAAATTGGCAATAAGTTCTTTCTTACAAATTGCAAGTCCATTTATTTTTTTCTAATTAAAAAAACATTTTTTTTGAAAAAAAATGAAAGTTTGTAGTACTTTGTAACAGTCAGGGGGGAACTTCGTAAAAAGGTTGGTGCGATTAACCTAAACAAAATATGTCGAGAGATCTCAAATATACATTTAGTAATTGAAACATAGTTGAGATTTTGATGTAAAATGCATTGAAACTTGGGGAGAGGCGAGCTGGAGGGGCTGGGGTACAAATTTTTTAAAAATTGGGAAGTGCGGCACATAGGTAAAAGTAAGAGGAGCTAGGTCACACTGATTTTTAAAATTTGGGGTTTGGAAGCAATTTTCCCTTAATGTTTTGTATAAACTAGTTCCGTTAAACTTTAAAAAGCGAAGACATCTTTGCATAATAACTAAAATTGATCTTTTTGTCTACCAAACTCCAATTCCTCGATATGAATCTACACAACAATTCTAATAAATGCCAAAGAGACGCCTTTCTCATCACCTTCCTCCACATAATTTGCTCAATTGAAAGTGACACAATTTAAAGGGACCAGCCCAATTCCTAACCTCCTCACTTGTTACAAGCAACTAGAGATAAACGTTACTTTAAACTACGCGCCAAAAGCTATGCCTTTGGAATCAACCAAAGAGATATAACCAAGAGAAAGTGATTTCTTTTTTTCCCAATTTTGGAAACAGATTTGTCTTAATACCCACATATAGTCCCATAAACGTCTTATACATTCAATTTTTTTTTAAATAAAAAGTATAGTTTCTACATCCTAGAATTCAAAGAAAAAAGTTTGAGTTATCTGCAAGTCATGAGAAAAAGCTTTTTTTTTAAAAAAATATTAATACTATCTTGCAAGTAAAGACGTAAGTTATTCGTTAGGAAATTATATTATTCATATAGTACATATGCTATAGAGGGGAAAAAAGAAAAAAAAAAGATGCGCGCTATGTAATATAAAGATGCATTTTAATGCGTCAAATAATTGAAACTTGTTAGCTAAAATTTTCTTTTGATCGAATGAAATACAATATAAAAAGCCATGGAATTTATATTGTTAATATCCGTGCTGAGTTATGAATTTATATCAGATTGACTTGTGCTTGTTTGTTTGCACGAAAGTAGCAAAGAAGTAACTAAAGTAGAGGAAGTTTCTCCTACTTCAAGCAAAAAATTATGTTTGTTTCCTCGGAAAGACTACTTCAGCTACTTCCATAAATACAGATGTGACGTCTAGATGGCACTCTTACTTCCTAGATTTTTTTTTCCGCCATTGAAAGCTCAAAAATAGAGAGGAAGTGGATAAAAAGTAAGTCCACATAAATTAGAGATTTACCAAGGGCGAATGATCTTAAATAATATATACAATTTCTATCCAAACAAACAAATAAATCAAAGAAGATGATGAAGTACTATTTCCGCTACTTCTAAAAATATATGAAACAAACAAAATAAGTACTACTTCCGCTACTTTCCACTTCATAATTGAGGAAGTTACATCTTTGATCCACTTCTTACTTCTAATAGTTACATCCATCCAAACGGACCCTTGTTTCACACCAAAAAAAGGGGGAGGGGGGGACTGTTAAAAGGAAAGTTGGAAATTGGGTATGGAAGTAATTTGGGTACTAAAACGAAAAAAATAAAATTTAAAAATCAGGATAGAAAGCTAATTTTCTAATAATCAAATCGAGTGGCGAGCCCTCCAATACTTCACCAAACTTTGCCAAACATAACAGATGGTGACGTTTTATCTCTTCGCCTTCACATATACAACAAATTAAGACTTAAAGAAATGCAAGAAGAAGGGAGAAGACGGAGAGAAGAGACCTGGTCATAAAGAGGCCAGCCCCTCTCGTTTCATAATTGCCCTCAGCTAATAATAAGAAAAAAAAAAAAAAAAAAAAAAATTTTCTAATAATCAAATCGAGTGGCGAGCCCTCCAATACTTCACCAAACTTTGCCAAACATAACAGATGGTGACGTTTTATCTCTTCGCCTTCACATATACAACAAATTAAGACTTAAAGAAATGCAAGAAGAAGGGAGAAGACGGAGAGAAGAGACCTGGTCATAAAGAGGCCAGCCCCTCTCGTTTCATAATTGCCCTCAGCTAATAATAAGAAAAAAAAAAAAAAAAACAAGAGAGCCATTGAAAAATTTTCTTTGACCCATTTCACTTCCCTCTGCAATAAAGCTTTCGAGAGAGGGGGAGGGGGAGAGCAGAGAGAAATCAAGAAATGGGCAACTGCTGCGTAACCCCATCAGCAAATGGCGAGAGCCCAAGAGCCAAACCCAAGAACAGAAAGAAGCAGAACCCGTACTCCCTAGATTACAACAGATCGCCGAATCCTTCAAACCCAAAGCTCACTGTCCTCAAGGACCCAACCGGCACCGAGATCCAAAAGCAGTACTCACTGGGCCAGGAGCTTGGGAGAGGAGAGTTTGGGGTCACTTACCTTTGCACCGACAAGTTCACCGGCGAGGTCTTGGCGTGCAAGTCGATATCGAAGCACAAGCTGAGGACCGCCGTGGACATCGAGGATGTGAGGAGAGAGGTTGAGATCATGAGGCATTTGCCGCGGCATCCTAATGTTGTGAGCTTGGGGAGCACTTATGAGGATGATGGGGCTGTTCACCTCGTGATGGAGCTCTGCGAGGGTGGAGAGCTTTTCGATAGGATTGTGGCGAGAGGGCACTACACTGAGAGAGCTGCCGCTGCTGTTACCAGGACCATTGTTGAAGTCGTGCAGGTAATAATCTCTCTCTCTCTCTCTCTCTCTCTCTCTCTCTCTCTGTCGTCTCTGGGTTTCTCGTAGTTCTTATGTGATTTTGTGACATGCCCCCAAATTAACATAAGTATTAACCAATTATCTATATTTCGTAGGAATTTGAAATACAATAGAATGGTTACTAGGCTTAGAGCACAATTTGAACAGGAAGGGCTGAACCCCTAATGAAGTACTGGAACTTAGTTGGTCATGTAAACTTTTAGGTCCTTGCTCAATGTAGAACTAGTTTCACGTAATATCAATCTTGTTGAATTGTTAATGGCTTTTGGTTGTATTTGTAAAATTACTGATCCTAGGTTGGACTTGCCAGGTTGCTAGGTTGGACTTGCCTTGTTTTATGTATTCCTTTTTAATCTGCATGCCAATATAAGGCACTAGTGATGTTTTTCTTTTTTCCTCACTTCTTTTTTTTTAAAGTTCATCCTCCTTTAGTATGAGAATTTATTTCAATTTTTGGTGACATTGGTTTGTTTCTTTATCACAGATGTGTCATAAGCATGGTGTAATGCATCGAGACCTCAAACCAGAGAACTTCTTGTTTGGAAACAAAAAAGAAACAGCCCCTCTCAAAGCAATTGATTTTGGCTTGTCCGTGTTCTTCAGACAGGGTATACAGTGACAGAGAACTTCTACTTCCTCTGAAATAAAATGATAAAACACCTAAAAGCTGATCCTTGTGCCAGTTGCGAATGTCAGTCAAATTTATGCATAACTGATAACCGCGCATTTTCTTGTACTACCCTTTTCTATAGGTGAGCGTTTTACCGAGATTGTGGGCAGTCCCTATTACATGGCTCCTGAAGTTCTAAAGAGAAACTATGGACCTGAAGTGGATGTTTGGAGTGCAGGGGTTATCCTTTATATTCTTCTTTGTGGTGTACCACCATTTTGGGCAGGTTAGTTTTTTCTTTGTAAAGAAAGACGATTATTCATTAACTTCCGAGTTGTTTTAAAAACTCGTACCCATTGAGGGAGTTTTTCATGTAATTTTGTTGCATTGCAGAAACTGAACAGGGAGTTGCCCGTGCTATTATTCGTTCAGTTATAGATTTTAGAAGAGATCCATGGCCTAAAGTTTCTGATAATGCTAAAGATCTTGTCAAGAGGATGCTTAATCCGGATCCAAAACTGCGATTAACAGCTCAGGAAGTGCTAGGTACTGTCCATGTTTTTTTTCTTTATTCCTTTTTTTCCGTGGAAATTTCTTGGATTGTATCTTCCAAGCTTACATTATAAGTTTGCATGGAAAGATCAGCAACTCCAAGACTGTATGTATAATAATTTGTTTTAATTTACACTTCTGCATAATACCTGTTAATCATCATGCTGATTTGGAATTCTCAACTGCTTTCTTTTATGCTTTATTTGGTTAGTTTTGAGACATTTCTATATTTGGCATTTCAGATCACCCCTGGCTGCAAAATGCCGCAAAGGCCCCAAATGTATCCTTAGGAGAATCTGTTCGAGCACGACTCCAACAATTTTCAGTGATGAATAAATTCAAAAAAAGAGCTCTCCGGGTAAGCATTTTTAACACGAAATTAGTAAAGCATATGGTTGTTCTATGTGCTTCTCTGATAATTTTCGGGTATCAGGTGATTGCTGAACATTTATCTATAGAGGAAGTAGCAGATATGAAGGAAATGTTCCAAAAGATGGACATCAACAAATCTGGCAAGATAACACTGGAAGAATTAAAGCATGGACTTCACAAAATGGGGCACCAAATCCCTGATGCAGATGTTCAGATATTAATGGAGGCTGTAAGTCTTGCATCTTAGCCTACTTTCTGCATTGGTAATTTCCCCCCCTAACATTATGTAAATAATTGTATGCTACGGCAGGCTGACGTGGATGGAGATGGGACCCTGGATTATGGAGAATTTGTTGCGGTATCTATTCACATAAGGAAGATAGGGAATGATGAGCACCTGCACAAAGCCTTTGCCTACTTTGACGCGAACAAGAGTGGATACATAGAAATTGAAGAGCTTAGAGAATCCTTAGCAGATGATCTGGGTCCGAATCATGAGGAAGTCATCAATGCCATTATCCGTGATGTAGATTCTGACAAGGTTAGTACATCTTCTCCCATTTAATCACTACAATCTACTTCAAATTTCATCTCAAGTATTCACTAAAATATCTCCATTCTAATGGATATGATGCAAAACAAACTTAATCAAGGAGATTAGCTAATTCGCAACCCTTTAAACAATTATATCACTAAACAAGCTGCACTTGTAAAATCCCATTTGTCAGTCCCACATTAGGAACTTGCAAATATATAGATGGCTTTATAAGCTAAGTTATGAGAGTCAAGTGTGTCGAATTGCTACTTATTTTGGCGGTGGTTTAAACCAAACAATGTGTAGTATTCAGTGAGTCTTAGAGGTTACATCACGCCAATGGGCTTCGGGGCCCAAGGTGTGAGAAGGCATACTATAGCATTTGGCGAGCCCAAAGTATAGAACTAAGGTTTACTTTGGTTGGGGGTTTCAGGAGGGAAGATGACGTGGGGCGGGGTGCAAGGGTAGACATCCATTTTAGCCTTTATGTTTGGTTCGAGGGAGGGTAAGGAGAGATGGATACTTTTATAGTTCATTTTCTTTCTCCTCGTATGTTCTCCCAATTTGGAGGGATTCTTCTTGCTCTACTTTTCTAGTTCATTTTGGCTTGTCCCTTCCGCCACCTTACTCTACCTCTCCGTCCAAAAACCCTCTAGCAAACACGCATGTTAATCGTGTGAGCGCAATAAGAGCCACCTCTAGAACCCATAGGAACACTTCTACAAACCGCATCATCTTGTTATGATATTAGGGTGAAACATTATCAATGTCATGATGTGTAACTTGTGTATTTAATGTGGAGGTGATTGTGAAATCCCATTTGTTTAGTCCCACACCATGAACTTGCTAATATATGGATGGCTTTATAAGCTAAGCCATGGAAGTCAACTGCAACAAATGGCTAGTCATTTTTTGTTAGTGGTCTGAGCCAAAAATATTTCGCACTCAACTGGTCCTAAGGGCTTACATCACGCCAATGGGCTCATAGGTCAGGGGGTGACAACATTCTAGTTGTTTTGGGCGTTCGCTTAAATTTACTTCTCTTTCATGACTAGCTGAACTCAAGGGAAATCTCGATATCTTTCTTGTTATTGTATTTTTCTTTCTTATTACTGTGAAGGTCAAAGATCACTTAATTTTAACTTCCTTGATTTAAATATCCATACATCGGCAAAAACATGCATGTGGTTTTTTTGATTTACATCTGGTGTAGGGGGAAAAAGCTTGAAATTGGTGGGATTTTTTCCTTGCAGGATGGAAAGATAAGCTATGAGGAATTTGCCGCAATGATGAAAGCAGGCACAGATTGGAGAAAGGCATCACGACAATACTCTCGTGAGAGGTTCAATAGAATCAGCTCGAGATTGATGAAGGATGGATCTTTACAGATGAAAAAATGATCGCAGAAACATCAGCGGAGAAAAATGACAATCCCCTTTATGAGAAGTTATAATCACATCTTCCCATTTTGTTGGTTCAACACAATTCTTTCCTTTTCTTTCTTTGGGAGTCCTCGGCATCATAAGGGACCTTTGATTCTATGGCCAGTTGCTAAGTCAAAGTTTTTCTGTGGTTATGATCCTACCCAGCTCTTGTATGTATTGAGAATTCAGCTTTTCATTCTGTTTTGTATTCTGTGCATATTGACTAAGCAAAAGGAAACCATAATTTGCTGTATATTATGTTGATTATACTAGAGGCCTTGTCTTATGTTTGTTGATTGGCCTGCTGGAAGCACTTGTACCAAAAGGAATATGAAATGTTCTACGCTCAACTCAGACTCTTTTCTTCTTCTATTTTCTGGTCAACAACACGGAAGTTGAAAACAACAGCTTCGGTATCCAACTGGACTGAGTCTTCTAGGACTTCGTATTTATTTATAAAAAGGATCAGGTGGGATGTATGCATCAATGCGCTAAGATGTATGTTGAAACTTGAAAGTACAAATAAATGTCATTATCTCCTGATTGTTCTCTTTTTCTTTGATTATTTCATTGGCACCCTCAAAAAAAAATCTTCTTATTTTGCATATAATCTTCTAATTATAACTTGAATAAATAAACACTTTAACCTCATTATATTATACACAAACTTGGACTTTTTCGATGAAAAGATGAACAACTTTCATCTCTCTCATACCTCCATCACCAGCATCCCTGTACTCACACAATTGCATCCAAACACAAATTTACTGATTCGATCCGTCTCTTTTCTTCAGGCCATTTCTTATGATCTGGATGTAGTCACCATAGCTGCTACACAAATGAAGCATTCAACATGATTCTTTCTTGAAATATTCAAAGAGAAGCTTCTGGTTTTTTATCAAGTCAAGGTCGTCTTGTTGGAGAGGGGTCATGAAAATATTCTTATCAACAAGGAGAATTCACGACTCATTAAAATATTCGTATTATTATTCAACTCTCTCGGATAAACCAGATTTACATATGGTACAAGAGCAGCACGTCCTTGCCAATAATAAATAACAAAACTAAAGAATCCAAATTTTGCACAATCTCAGCA